ATCTATAACCAACTATGAAATATTGAAAAAGCCGTGTTTAACCATCTCAAGGAAACTGAAAAATCCCACGATGAGCAGTATTAATTCCTTTAATAATTACACCTGAATAGTAGCATGTGTATACATCTAAGAAGATGGAGTTTGACTGAGTTACTTCCGATGAGATGCTTGCCTGTAGCAAGTCGCACCACCTCCTGCCACTCATACATTTATTTCTTTGACCATTTACCAGTATACCTACTGAATTACTTTGGTAGGGTCTCATAGACAAGATGAGAGTAGCTAGAAAGACAACAGAAACAGTCCATGGAAGACACGAAAGACAACATGGAGACAGAGTCCATAACATGCACTAGCCATTACGCGACCCGGCCATTAACGGCACTTACTTTTTTTTTTTTTTGATAAATAGCCGGGTGAGAGGAACATGAGGACAATCTAAGGTTATGAATGACTTTTCGAACTTAGCAACAATTGTGACTCCTTCCTCCCATATTGGTAACTATCACATGGCCATGCTAGAACTAAAAACAAAGAGAAAAGACTAAACGTTCGTCCCACCCACGTTCCAGGGAAACTACTATACGATTATTAGTTAATTACTAGAGAAGCCACGATAAGTATTAATTCTTGGCCTCATTCTTGTTTCAATATATTTTTATTGCAGGCTTCGTTCCGCACCGTGCCTCTTTCCACTCTTCGTGTGTTGGTTATGACGGTTGGAGAGCTCGGCTTCACAGACTTCGTTGAGCTGTATAAAAACCAAGATCCGTATAATCCATTTCCATCAGTGGCATACACATTTCTCTTTTTGTGCGTGTTTTTGTTGAGCGTCGGACTGATGAATCTCTTGGTAAGAGAACATCCTTTTCATGTTATGATCAATAAGCGTATCAAGCAAAATGTACCATTGTTCACGGAAGGCTCAAACGACTCATAAAGATGCACTTTACCAAAAGCCTTGTGTTTCTGTTATACGTTTTGGATTCGATGAATTAGTCATTTTTGTTGCACTCTCTCTGCCAATTAGAATTTGGGTAGATTTCAAAGGCATGATTACTATGACCAGTGTGTGTTCTTTCAAGGGATTGGTGAGCCGTGCCATACTTTCTGTAATTTTCTTAAGGGGAAATTCCTCCTTCTACCGCTTAAGGGATCTGTGTTCGCAGGTTCTCGAATTCAACTCCTCCATGTCCAACTTTTAAGTAGTTAACTCATCAGCCTCCAAGCAGCAAGAATTCTTGAAAAGTTTTTAGTTTTATTTACAAGTTTGTTTCTCGATTTAAGGGCCCATTAACCGATTCATGCGCGC